CCCCCCCACCCCCGACGTCTTGGTCCCCAGCATCGCCGATGGCAAACTGGATTCAAGTCGGAGTCCTAGAGATTTGGACTAGACCACTCGGGATTCCAGGGTCATAGGGCCTACAGGCCTCGGACACAGCTACCTGCTCCCCTTGCTTGGCCAAGACTGCATGCACCTAGGTCTAGGGTATGCAGGCCTAGGGTATGCGTTTGGAGGCTGAGGGGAATTAAAAACCTGCTTCTACCATGACCCGAGACCTTGGGCAAGTCACTGCACGTCTCAGCCTAGGTTCCCTCCTCTGTGAAATGCTTACTCTATATGATGCTTACTCTATGCCAGTCACTGATCAAGCACTTTACTTCCATCAACTCATTGAATTCCACAACCCCATGAGTTAGGTGCTATTACTAATGAGGCCCAATGTCACAAAGCTAGGAGAGCTAGAATTCAAACCTAGGCATCCCAGCTCCGGATTTTACTCACAACCCCTGCCCTATACTGACAAGAAAAATACAGAGTTGTTGTGAAGGTTTAATGAGATAATACATATAAAGCACTTAGCTTAACATAGTAATTCTCAAACTTTACCTTGCATCAGAATCACTTGGAGGGTGCCTTAAAACACAAATTGCTGGGCCCCATTCTAAGAGTTTTTGATTCATAGTCTGGGGTAGAGCAGAATACTGCATTTCTAACAAGTTTCTAGGTGATGGAGATGCTTATTTGAAGTGAATGGGTAGCTATGCAAGTTGTAAGCAGAGGAGCAATATAGTCCCATTTAAGAGAACCTTTACTGTTTTGTGAAGACTGTTTTAAAAGGAAACAGAGGAAGCCAGACCAGTTAGATTTTTTTTTTTTTTTGAGCTCTCCATATTCCACCTGCTCCCTACGTGGTGGGATGGTATTCCCCCCGCCCCCCACACACACACCAAATGTTAACAGTACTTATCTTAGAAGCTAAGATAATAAGTGATTTTTCCTAATAGGTATGTATTAGAGAACAGAAGAAAATGCAACACATTTTATTAGCATTTGAAAAAGATGTCCCTCAGGGCTCCTTCCTGATCTTCACTCCTCAGTCTCACTTTCTATGGAAGATCATATCCACTCTCTTGACCTCTGTAACCACCTAGATTCTTACACTCATATCTGCAGTCCTAATATTTCCTGAGCTCCAGGCTGACCTGTATCTAATTGCCTGCTGGACATCTTCACAGGCCCCTCCAACTCAATGTGACCCCTGCTGTAATCATCTCTTCCCACTCTTAGATCTCTTTTGGGGTTCCCTTCCTTGGTGAATGACAGCAGGAACAGCTGAAGTCATCCTTGACTCCTCATCTCCAACAACCAGCCGAGGTGTCTTTACTCACCAGCATACTCTCTGCACCACGCGCAATGGCTAGCAAATGGTAGATGCTCCATAATATTTATTGAAATCACTCATTTCCTGAGCAAATACTCATGAATGCCACTATAAACAAATAAATGTAACCAGTCACCAAGTCTTGTCAGTCTTACCTCCTTAAAAGTCCTCCATTGTGGTCTAACTGTTCTCCAATCTCACAACCTGCCCCTCCCTGGTCCAGTCCATTTCAGTTTCTTCCCTTCCAACCAGGTTCCTTGACTCCAGATTTGTACCCCTCCAATCCTTTCTCCTTGCAAAATCCAGAGCAGTTTTTCAAAAAGGTAAATCTGGTTTTTAACCTCTGATTTAAAACTCTTCTGTGGATCAAGAGATATCAAGGAAAAACACATTACTTAAGGTTACAAGGTAACCATTAGATGACCTAAAAATAGTGATAGAAATATTTAGGGTCAGTGGAAGAAGGGAAGTACAGAGTGTGAGATAAATCTATATTTATCATAATAGGAAGTCAGTAGATGATATTTAAAATTAATAAATAGTAGTACTGTATAAGCATATGTAGAGTTATGTGTATAAACACCAGAAAAAAAAAGCTGAACATCATTGTCTTTGGGGTGTGGGTATAGAGGTGGGAAAAGATAAAGCAGGGTTTGCATTGTAAATCCTTCTGTGACCATGGGCTGAAATAATTTGTATTAAAAACCCAAATCAAGCCAAAACAACAACAAAAAAAGTTTTTCATGGCTCCTCATTGCTTATAAAATATAATCCAAGCACTATACAACTATCTTCTACAGTTCTACAGCAGCATGGCCATCGCCTGGGAGCTTGTTAGAAAAGAAGAATCTCAGACCCCATCCCAGATCTACAGAATTACAATCTGCATTTTAACAAGATGTGCAGATAATTCATATGCACAGTCAAGCTTAAGCATCAGTCTACAGGATCTGATCTGTCTGGCCCATGTGGACCTTTCATCTTCCATACTGATTACTTCTCAGTGGCCAGAAGAACGTTACTTTCTTTCTTTCTTGTTTGTTTGTTTGTTTGTTTAGAGCAAGCAGGGGAGGGACAGACAGAAAGGGAGACAGAGAATCCCAAGCAGGTTCTACACTGTCATTACAGAGCCAGATACGGGGCTTGAACCAACAAAACGTGAGATCATGACCTGAGTCTAAACCAAGAGTCCCTTGCATAACCAACTGAGCCACAAGGCACAGAATGTTACTTTCTATTTCTTTAATCTAAACTCAGTGGCTGGGAGGGGTGGTGGTGGTGCCTGACTGACTCCCTCTTGATCCCCGGTTGTGAGTCTGAACTCCACCTTGGATGTAGAGATTACTTACAAACAAACAAACAAACAAACAAACAAACAAACTTAAAAAAATAAATTCAGTGGCTACACTGAAAGTGGTGTGTGTGTGTGTGTGTGTGTGTGTGTGTGTGTGTGTGTAGGTAGCTAAATTCTGACCACTGTTTTAGACCCAGCCCTTCTACTCCAGGAAGTCTTTCAAAAACCTCTGCAGATCTCTTAATTTCCCAAATTCCTGAGGATGCTTATTTAGCCTTTGTTCTGCAATACAGGGCGCCTGCTGTGTACCTGGCTAGATTTAGTTGGAAGAGTGGGCAGAAGGCACTGAACTCTCCTAGCGCCCCTTCAAGTACAAATCCAAGTACAAATCGCCGAGCCCCACCCATTCCAGGGCCAGACGTTCAGACGTGTGCACAGCCCTCGACCGACACACACACACATACATACACACACGCACGCACACGCGCGCGCGGCTCTGCGCTGCTTTTCTGAGTGTTACGGCGCCCTTCGACCGCCCCCGCGCGGCGCGGGCGGGGACCCACCGGTTCCGCTCGGCGCTAGTCGCGGAGAAAGGAGGACCCCTGGGAACAAGATCCCGCCGTCCGGTCTCCCAGCACTTTTAAGCGGTTGGCCCGCATGGAGGGGACTGCGGAGTCCCAATCGCCTGACCTTCGAGACGTGGAGGGCAAGGTGGGCAGGAAGACCCCTGAAGGGCTGCTCCGCGGGCTGCGAGGCGAATGGGAGCCAGGAACCTCTGGCGCCCTGCTGCTCCCGGGGGCGCCCAACACGGGCCACGGCCTGGGGGACAAGATCATGGCGCTGAGGATGGAGTTGGTGAGTGTGGGCTCCATGGGCCAGGGGATGGAATCCCCAGCTAGGGCTGAGGGACAGACTTATGCCCCCAGAGTTGGACAGGAGAGGAGAGCATTAAAATTCCCCATCTTACTCCTCAGGGTCCCTTCCAGATCAATCCTTAAACCCTGGGGTCCATTAATTGACCCTCCCAAGGGTAAGTGGGGTGTTGATGGGTCCTGAAGACTTGAGGTGGGAGGCATGGGCTCTAGGAAGTTTTTACTGCCGAATAATTGGGCGGGGAGAGGTGAGGATTGGGAAGCACTGAGAACCTAGCACAGCCCAAATCTCCCCCACCCCACCCCTCCACCAGGTGCCATCTATCCCCTGGCCACCATTAAAGGGCAACCAGTTTCTTCTCTTCCTGCAAACTGGGTTGCTCCTCTGAGGCCTCAGTGTTCATGACAGGATTTAGCACAGAAGAGATCTGGGTGAAAACCTCCTGGACTAGGGCCACTAAAGACATTCTCCCTTCCTGCAATGTTCTCCCACCCCCATTTAAAATATTTGGAAGTTCCTAGAACCTGAGCAGTCAGAATAGCAGCACCATCAGCATTGGCTCCATCATCTCCGAGCCCCCCAAGGATATTTATATTTTATCTGTAACTTCTTGGGGAGAAGAGAAGGAAACAGGCACCCTCCCCCTCCCCTGTTGCTGCTGGTCTAGATTCAGAGCCAGAAGGGCATCTGGGGCTGCCTAGGCTCCCCAAGGCCCTAGTTCCGGTGAAGGGGGTGATTCACACCTGCCACCACTTTGCAGCCAGTTCTGGGGAACCGAAGAATTCTCTCTGGCTTAGAACCAGGAGGCCATGGTGAGTGTGTCAGTTAATAGGTTTTCCTGGAGCCCCACTGTCTGACCAGTTCTGTGCCAGGCTGGGCTGTGAGAGAGCAGAGAATGAGGGCATGGGAGCTCCTAGACACCCTGCAAGTCTGAGAGGAGAGCCTTGTGGGCAGAGTAATCAGGGAAGGCTCGTGGGGGAAGGATTCGAATGCCATGTGTGCACTTGGCCCTGAAGGTTGGAGGTGAGTGCCAGATTCTTCAGGGCAGGGCTGTGACTGCCCACCTAAGGGAGGGGCTCGAATTTGCCTCATTGTACAAAGTGGTGCCAGGTATCATGTTGAGCACTTTACAAAATATTCGCTTAATACTCACAGCAACCCTATTTGGCAAGTGATCTTTTATAGATAAAGAAACTGAGGCACAGAGAGGTTAAATAACTACTCAAGGTCATATAAAAAGTAAAATGCAGAGCCAGGCTTTGAATCCAGATGATCTGCCTGCACTTTACATTTTTACCGTTGAGATCTGCTTTGTGCCAGACACTTTAAAGACATTTTACGTCATTGAAGTGAGAAGAGCAGTCATCATTCCTCCATAGGATGAAGCATGCTTGCAGGTGTTCAGGGGCTTGCCTGGGCTCACTCAGGAGCTCCGTGGTGGAGCCATGCCTCCTCTCTGGCTCAGAACTCTTCTGCCTTTGATGGGGATTTTCTGGTTGTAAACTTTAAGGGGGTGCATTTAACTTCTGATCAGGTCTCTGCATTCTGTTTTTTAAATTTTTTAATGTTTATTTTTGAGACAGAGAGAGAAAGAGAGAGAGAGAGACAGGGTGTGAGTGGGGGAGGGGCAGAGAGAGAGGGAGATGCAGAATCTGAAGCAGGTTCCAGCCCCAGCTGTTGGGCACAGAGCCAGACCCTGGTAATGACCTGAGCCTAAATTGGAGCTTAACTGACTGAGCCACCCAGGAGCCCCAGGTCTCTGCATTCTTGATCCAGCCTGGTCTAGGATCCTAGGCTGCCCATTAAAGGCACAAAGGAGGGCGCTTGCTTGGGGGCCCAAACAGTGAAAGGTCACTACCTACCCCATTCCTTTCTCTCTCCTTGGTCAAGGTGTCATTGATATCTTTGTGTACTCTGCCCTGCCCACTGGGTTGCACCTAGGGAGGACGGGACAGGGCAGGGGATTTCCCTTGGAGCAACTGGTGGCAGTACTGGTCCAAGCCCTCTAAGCACTGTCCTTCAACTGTCCCTCTCCCAGCAATCCTGCAGGGAGGGGACAGGCCTGCTCATGAGGCCAAGGTTATTCCTGCTTCTAGGCTCCTTTCCTCTTGGTTCCCTCCCCCTCTCACACTTTGAGTGAACCAGCCAGAGTCTGGGGTATGTGGGAAAGGAAAACAATAGCAACCTTCCCTACTTAATCCACCCAAAGAACTGTTGCTGTGACAACCTGCCCCCACAGAGCCCCCGCAGAGCAGCTTGAGAAAAAGCTTCAGGCAAGAAGGAGGAGAAGACCTGGGTTCAAGTCCTGGCTCAGCTCCTGAATTATTTTGAGATCTTGAGCAGGGCCCTGACTTTCTTTTGGCCTCAGTTTTTCTGCCTCTTGGAAGATGAGAGGACAGGAGCTTGTGGGACCAGATAGTCCTAGTAAGAATAGTCTGAGAATCTCAATCTGTGGCCAGGGAGCTGGGCCTGGAATCTCCTGGCTTTACCCCAGGGCCTGATTTGTATTGAGTGATGAGGGAGCCATACTTGTGACCCCAGGGCTGGGCTGAGAGTCTAATATGTATGTGTTAAGTGGGGGAGTGGGGAACCTGACCCCCTGGGAAGAGAATTGGATTGTGGTGGCCTTTAAGGCTGCATCTCTCTGAGCTATTTATACCTTTCTGTTTCCAAAGAGATGGTGTGGAATGAGTGTTTCTTTTTCTGGCAAGAAAAGTCTTGCTTTTTTCTATTCTGGGGAGTGATGCTGTCACAGTCAGGGAATCCCACTGTCACAGAACTCATTTTTCATCAGCATGGTAAAACCCAACCCCCTGAATCCTGGAGACCTCCAGAGGGGCCAAGGATGGTAAAGGCAATAGGATCACAAAGTCTAATATGACCTAGGCTGAGCACCATAAATGAACTGTGCAGGACCTACTCTCGGGGAGCTCACAGTCTGAATTCACAGGAAGGAGGGAGAGAGACTAATAACTCTGGCACAGGACCATAAGTGTTATTGGAACACAGCATGGGCTTCCTGGAAGAGTTTTCATTAAGGAGTGACATGGTCAGATTTGTACTCTGGAAAGGCTACTTTTTTTTTTTTTATGATTTAATTTTTAAGTAATGTCTACATCTGTCATGGGGTTTGAACCCTCAACCCTGAGATCAAGAGTCATACACTCTACTGACTGAGCCAGCCAGGCACCCCTGGAAAGGCCACTTTGAATTGGAGGGGTTACATGCTGTTTCCTCTGGTTGGAATGTCTCTCTCCACCGCTTAGTCTGGCTAAGTCCTACTTAACCTTTATGCCTCGGCTGATGTGCCTTATTCTAGGAAGCATTTTCTTACCTCCCTTTGTTGGGTTAGGGCCCTCTAGGTACCTGTGGCCCTCTATATAGCAGTTGTTTCCCCTAGCATTTACTACATTGAATTTTTAGTGCTTGTGTCATTGTCTTATCTTACCCATAGATTGTGAACTCCCTGAGGCTAAGAAATGGTGTCTTTTCTTCCTTTAACACAATGCAATGCCTATAAGAAACACCCAGTAAATATTGTTTCATAACTGAATGGATTAATTACATCGTGAGGAAGAGCAGGGAAGACTTCCTAGAGGAGGTGGCATTTGAGGCTGGGGCTTGAAAAATGAATAAAGTCAGTGGGAATTCCAATTCAAGATGGCAGATTGAACACATGCATTTACCTTCATTTCCTTCTGAAACTTCACTAAAAAGCCAATAGAAGGATTATTTTAAAGGCCATGAAACCATTATGACAACAAAAATAGGAGAGAAGATGATAGGAATAAAATTTTGGAAGCTAAAGAGCAGAAGGAAGACTTGTAACTTAGTAGACCTGAAAAAAAGCTGAATTTCAAGCTAGCAGCAAGGAAAGCTGAAAAGCAACACATGTTGCACTACAGAAACCCTCAAAGGTCACAGGAGTTGGAAGCACTGGGTATTTCTAGAACTGGGGGGCACAAGTGAAGCTGAAAACAGAAGGGTTTGTGAATGTCTGTTTAAGAATCATATTCTAAGATGGGGCGCCTGGGTGGCTCAGTTGGTTGAGCGTCCGACTTCGGCTCAGGTCATGATCTCACAGCTCGTGAGTTTGAGTCCTGCGTCGGGCTCTGTGCTGACAGCCTGGAGCCTTCTTCAGATTCTGTGTCTCCCTCTCTCTCTGCCCCAACCCACTCACATTCTGTCTCCGTCTCTCTCAAAAATAAATAAACATTAAAAAAAAATTTTTAATAAAAATAAAAAAAAAAAAAAAGAATCATATTCTAAGATCTCCTCCCTAACGGGGCAACCAGATGCCAACCACTTCTTTATCCTAACAGAAGATTGGAGATGTAAGTTTTGGAAAAGAATAGTACAGAAGGAAGGGAAGAAGGGGAAGGAAGGAGAGAAGAAAGGAAGAAAGGAGGAATTATAGCAGGAGAAGCATTTTTAGTATGAGAAGTTTTATTTAATACATCTAGTTTGGTTTTGGACTAGGGCTGCTGGTTTCACTGTTAACTTATTTGTCCCCAGTATGAAACAATTGAAGATAATCTTCTTTATCATATGTCATTAATAATCTGTATAGTCTGTGGCATTTCAGTTGTTCATGTTTATATCTCTTTATTTAAAAAAATTTTTTTAATGTTTATTTATTTTTGAGAGACAGAGACAGAGCATGTGCAGGGGAGGGGCAGAGAGAGAGACATAGAAGCTGAAGCACGCTCCAGGCTCTGAGCTGTCAGCACAGAGCCCGATGTGAGGTTCGAACTCACAGACTGCAAGATCATGACCGGAGCAGAAGTTGGATGCTTAACCAATTGAGCCACCCAGTTGCCCCTGTTCATATCTCTTTATTGAAACTGCAAGTTTCTGTTAAGTAGGGACAGTTTCTCCATTATCTTTGTAATCATTAGACAACTCAGGAACCAAATAACCATCTGTTTCATTGAATTAGAGTTGTGATATTATTCCAAAGTCACAAATAATTTCAGGTACAGAATTTTGTTCTGTGCTTATGCCATGGTAATATGTAAAGTTAAATAGCTACCATTTATGAACTAATACTTGTCAGGTAGTATCTTGTGCATGTTAATGCATTCCTTCCATTTATTTTTATTTTTTAAATGTTTATTTATTTATAATGAAGGAGAGAGAGCAAGAGGGGGAGGGGCAGAGAGAGAGGAAGAGAAAAATCCCAATCAGGCTCTATGCTCAGCACAGAGCCCAACACAGGGCCATCTCATGAACCATGAGATCATGACCTGGGCCGAAATCAAGAGTCAGACGCTTAACTAACTGAGCCACCTAGGGACACCCTTCCGTTTTTTAAAATAAACTTTTTAATTAGGTAGTGTCCTCGGTGCACCTGGCTGGCTCAGTTGGTAGGGCATGTGACTCTTAATCTCAGGGTTGTGAGTTCAAGCCCCATGTTGGGTGTGGAGACTTTTTAATTAAAAATAAATAAATAAGTTAATTAATTAACTAAATAAAAATTAAAAAAAATAGTATCCTCATTTTACAATGAAGAAATGAAGGTTTAAAGGGGAATAAAAATTCCAAAATCATATGGTTCATTAATGGCATAACTGGAGTTTGAATCCAGATCTGTTTAATTCCAGTGCCTATATTTTTCTCAGTGTACAAATACTTGGTTATATTCTGGTTTATCATTCTAGATGTAAAACAATCATTTACTGAATAATTCAATAAACATTTATAAATTGATATTAAAAAAAAAAAACACCTAGGACCAAAGGTCTCCAGATTGAGAGACAACAAAGTTGAAGGCAAGAGGGATTAAGTAAAAATGTATTAAATGTTATGATATACCCTTCTAGCATTTCCCCCTACTTGGCAGCTTTCCTTATATTCTCAAGATGGGTATAATATGGTGAATATGGTGAACCTGAGAGAAAGTAACCATAAGAGATACTGACTCAGGGCCAACCCAAATAGCCCAGCCAGATAATTGCCAGTTTGCAACCAGCTTTTTAGAGACCACTCTGAAGTATGAGCAGCTACTAAACACTGTAAGACACCTGATGAGACCCTCTAACTGTGCAGATGTAGATAAACAGAAAAAAACAACTTGAATGAAATGGAGATAATATTGGAAGATGAGAACTTATAAAAAAATCATTAACTATATCCCTAAAAAGATAAGATAATATTGCAGCCATATCAGGAAGCTATAAACAGGAAAACATTCAGAGAACTAGAACAACTCTTAGAAATAAAAACATGATAGGAAAATATGAAAAACTCAGTAGAAGGGTTGATAATGTTGAAATATTTCAGAAACTAGAGCAAATACAGAAAAAGATGGAAGAGGATTAAAAAAAAAAAAAAAAAGAGGATCCGTCCAGGACACCCTCTATTCAAATAATAGGATTTCCAGAAAGATCATAGAAATAAAGGAGGAGAATAAAGGAGGAGAAATCAAGAAAGAAATAAAGAAAATCAGAACTGAAGGATATGAGCCTCCAGATTAAAAGGACCCATCAAGTGGCCAATTCAATGTATGAAAATAGACCCACGCCATAGCAAATTATTGGGATAATTTAGAACACTGGGAACAGGGTGCCTGGGTGGCTCAGTTGGTTGAGCGTACAACTCTTGATTTCAGCTCAGGTCATGATCTCACAGTTCATGGGATCAAGCCCCACTTTGCTAGCACAGAGCCTACTTGGGATTCTCTCTCTCCCTATCTCTCTGCCCCTCCCTCGCTCATACTCTCTTTCTTTCAAAATCAATAAATAAACTTAAAAACAACAAATAAAAATTAAAAAAAAAAAAAACATTGGGAACAAAGAGAAGATCTTAAAAACCTCCAGAAAGAAAAGGAAGATGGATACATCCAAACAATCAGGAATCATAATGGCATCATACTTTTAAGTTTAACACTGGAAACTAAAAGACAATGGAACAATGCCTTAAATCCTGAGGAAAATTTATTTTCAACCTGGAATTCTATACCCATCAACTGTCTATGAGGGGAGGGGAGGATAACAGCATTTTAAACATGTGAAGCTTCAACAAATGTACCTCCTATGTAGACTGTTGCAGGAAGCTACTGAAGGAAAAGCACCACACACACAATAAAGGAGTGAATCAAGAAAGAAGAAGACATAGGATCAGGAAACAAGGGATCCAACTCAGGAAAGAGGCAAAGGGAGTCCCTAGGATGAGAGTGAAGGGGGATCCCTGGAGGATAGTTGTGCAGCAGGTACAGATTGGGGCAGATCAGAAGGCTCCTGGGGCGCCTGGGCAGCTCAGGTCATGATCTCATGGTGCATGAATTCCATCCCCGCTTGGGATTCTCTGTCTCCCTCTCTCTCTGCCCCTCCCCTACTTGCTCGTGCTCTCTCTTTCTCAAAAATAAATAGATAAGGGCGTCCTAGTGGCTCAGTAGGTTAAACATCCAACTTCAGCTCAGGTCATCATCTCACAATTCATGGGTTTGAGCTTCAGATTCTGTCTCTCCCTCTCTCTCTGCTCCTCCTCCACTCACACGCTGTCTCTCTCTTTCAAAAATAAATAAACATTAAAAGTTTTTTTTAAATAATAAATATTAGAAATTTTATATATAAAAAAGAAGGCTCCTGAAGAGCTGTCTCTAAGAACATGGAACAGATGGAAGATGTGATATGTTTAAAAGCCTTGAGAGGAAAATTCAGACAATTGGGAGAGGGTTTGAGGCTGACTTACTGATGATTATATAGCAAACTAAGCAAAAGAGTAGTAGTAGTGTATGTAGCAGTAATAATATGATAACGTAATAATTACGTAAGATGATACATATCATTTATTATTATTCTAAGGCATAATTACAATAATATTATTATTCTAAGGAAAACATGAAGAAATGAAAAGTAGCCATAGTAAACTGTACAACTTAGCCGCGAATAGCATTTCCAAATCCTAATAAGGTAAATACTGAATAATTCATTTTATCACGTATGTTGGAATACAGAGAGAAAGGTGTCTGTATGGCAGAGGATCGGGGAGTAGGATGAAAAAGTTAAATCCTTAACCTTCTATCGTATGGGAAGGCAATAGAAAACACCTAAAACTTAAAAGTCAGTAAGTGGAATGTTATTTGGAGATTAGAATCTAAGTACCAAAATAAGCAGATAAAAAATGAATAATGGTTGTTTCTGGGAAGAAAGATTTAGGATTAGGATGGGGGACTATTACTTTCATGATAAATCTCACAGAACTCTTTGCGTCTTTAATCTATGTGCATCCATTACTTTGCCTAAAAGGAAAATTAAATAAATATGAAATCAGGAAGTCATGTGTGACGGGACTGGGGGGCTTCCAGGGAAGTATGCTAAAAGTGAAGCTGGAGAGACAGGCAGGGGATGTATTATGACAGCTTTTGAATGCCTGCTGCTAAAATATTTAGATTTTATTCTCTAACAGTTGTGCAAAGCCCAGAAAGTTTCTTGAGCAGGGGAGGGACAGATTCAGATTGGTATTTGCGGAAGATAATTTAGGGGATCTGAGGTAGGAGGGACCTAAAGATTACCTGGTAAGTTAGATTTACTCCCAGTACAGACACCCTAGACTACTAGTGTGTGGTGAAGAGAAGCCCTGCATCTGTAGCCAACAGGATTCTGACCCTTTGAACAACTGCTACCCACACCCTGAAGGGACTGTGGGGCCAGGTGAGCTCCCTCTTTATTCCCCAGCTCCTGCCTCCTTTTGGCTCAGTCTACTTCCTCATTAACACCAGACTCCCTATCAGGTTGTTCTTTGATTCTGGACTGGTTCAATAGTTAATGCCCTATTCTATGAAGTTCAAATCTCAGTGGGATCGGATTTCGATACTAAACATTTACTGAGACCTAACTCTGTGTCATGCACCGTGTTGAATACTTAAATTTTTTTTTAACGTTTATTTTTGAAAGAGAAAGAGAGAGACAGAGTGTGAATGGGGGAAGGACAGAGAGAGAGGGAGACACAGAATCTGAAGCAGGCTCCAGGCTCTGAGCTGTAAGCACAGAGCCTGATGCGGGGCTTGAACTCATGAACTGTGTGATCATGAAGTCAGATGCTTAACGGACTGAGCCACCCAGGTGCCTCCAGAACTGAGATTTTAAACTGCAATCTGCGGCGCCTGGGTGGCTCAGTCTGTTGAGCGTCCGACTTCGGCTCAGGTCATGATCTCACGGTTCATGAGTTCGAGCCCCGCATCGGGCTCTGTGCTGACAGCTCGGAGCCTGGAGCCTGCTTCTGATTCTGTGTCTCCCTCTCTCTCTCTGCCCCTCCCCCGCTCACGCTCTGTCTCTCAATAATAAACGTTAAAAAAAATTTTTAAAAACAACAACTGCAATCTGTCTGCTTCTAAAGCCCACACTCTAAATCAACCATACTTCTATTCCCATGCTTCTTAAAATTGAGGCATGGTTGGTTGGACCACAAAGTGGGGTCTCTAGAAACATTTGGGAAACCCATGGCTCTGAAGCTCAGACTGATTCCTTCTCCTACTCCCCCAGGCTTACCTGCGAGCCATCGATGTGAAGATCCTGCAGCAGCTGGTGACTTTGAATGAGGGCATCGAGGCTGTGCGCTGGCTGTTGGAGGAGCGGGGGACATTGACCAGCCACTGCAGCAGCCTCACCAGCAGCCAATATAGTCTGACAGGCGGGAGTCCAGGCCGCTCAAGGCGAGGCAGCTGGGACAGCCTGCCAGACACCAGCTCCACTGACCGGCTGGACAGTGTCTCCATCGGCAGTTTCCTAGACACGGTGGCCCCCAGCGAGATGGATGAACAGGGCCCCCCTGGGGCTCCCCGTCCTGAGATGGACTGGGCAAAGGTTATACCCAGTGGGAACAGGGCCAGGACTGAGGTGGACCTGACAGCCACCAGGCTAGGGAACTTGAGGGCTGTATGGAAGCCCCCAGGGGAGAGGCTCCAAGGTGGACCTCCTGAACCACTAGAGGATGAAAGTGTTAAGCTTGGCTTTGAGGCTCACTGGTATTGGGGGCAGTGCCAGGATGATGTGACCTTCTTGTAATAACTTTCCCGTCCTTTCATATTTCTATAACTCTTTCATCACTAGGTCCTGGTCTCCCTAGAAATTTATTCTCCCTTATTCTGGGTCTAGGAGGAGCCTGCATTGAAATCCAGTTACCGTGGAAACCTGGCCTTACCATCCTTCTGGCCCCTAAGGAGGCTCTGCTTTTATCCTTCAATTATTGGGACCCTAGAGCTATTTACATAGATACAATGACTCTAGAGGCTTGACCTGTAGCCTCTGGTGTGATAGTATCTCTTCCCCTTCCCCCTTCAACTACGTAAGGATTTGAGGGATTTAGGACCCATAGGAGATCACTGATGAAGAGATGGGGGTGTAATTACCTCACCCAACATCTAGGAGTCTTGGCCCCCCTCTTGGCCAAGATGGAGAAGTGTGGAGGGACATGGACATTCAGGGCCAACCTTCCATGGATTGGCCCTCCTAGAAGCCTCTGGGGTTGGTAGAACCATCCCTTCCTGTCTGGTGAGTGATATCATTTCCTGCCAGGATGGAATAGACTTTCCTCTGTACCAGTCTCTTAGTGGTGATAGGGCAGTATAGGGTTGTCTGAGCCCCTGCTGCTAAGTGAGACTACACCATTTATTCTCCATACCGTTACTTCTTGCTAGAGGGATCATATCACCCCTCCTGGTAGGAAAGCTTCTCACTGTCAGATGTTTGTGTTCCTTTTCAGAAAGGTTCTTACTTTTTAAATTGGGTGTTCTCATTTTGTTCTAGGGGGTCTCACTTCCTCTGTGACCACATCCCTATCTGATGCCAGTATTCCTACATCTGTGCTTTTAGGGAGGGAAATTCAGGGGCCTCTACCCACAGCTCTCAAAAGTTTGTTTGGCCTGCCCTGCCAGTCCCCTGTCTTACCCCTTCCCTGGGTTGCCCCCATTTTTGTATTCTGGCTCCAAATCTGTCTGCCAGGAGGTTTAGCCTTTGTGTCTCCACACCTTCTCAGTTTCCACTTCCACTTCTTCAGGGCCTCTGGCCTTTTATATGCAGATGAGTCCCCCATCTACCCCCCTCTCTCCCCATTGCTGATGGGAATCAGAGGGAGAAGAAGCTTGAAGAGCTCTGGGGGTGTATCATAATTTCCAAAGAGGGGAGGTGTCTTCTCTGATCCTGTGATTTCCCTTCCCCCATCCTGCCCCGGACCTTCTACCATTTGGTCACAAGGATGCCTGCCAGAGGCTGAGACACAAGAAATCTCCTTGTCTGGGTTACAATGGGAGTGTGGGGGTGTGGCAGGGAAAGACAGAGGCTCTTTGGTCCTAAGCCCCACATCCTATGAGGGGCAGAGATAGAGGGGAAGGCTGCTTTCCTTCCTCCCTTAGAGCAAGCCCTAGACCCCTGGGACCTGAGGTGGGAGCAGGGAACTGGCTCTGAGCCTAGGTCCTAAGGCCCTAGTGAATTACAGCAAAGAAGGAATTCAAGGAAGCTGCCAACCTGGGGC